CACTGCTACAGGGCGGCATGGGTGTGCAAAATGACATATATATACGTGAGTCGTGTTCCCATGGTTTTCACACCCCTCCCAGATGGCGTCAGATTGCCCATCAGTAGACCAGTCATCACATTTAACCCCTTGATTGCCAGGAAGACACTCATACACAATAAACCTCCATTGTTAGTATAGTGTCTGAACGGGTCAATATCTTTGATCAGATCAGCACTATACCAGCGTTCACATTAGTATAGCATCCCCAAAAATGCAGTGTTAGCGGGATCAGCCCCAGCACCTGCGTTTAGCCCCTATGCTTACCCCCCCCCCCCTTCTCCCCCAGCCAGTGCAGTGTCAGTAGGTCACTGTCACCTGATACACTGCACACAAAACCGCAGTGTTGGTAGAATCAGGCCTGATCTCTGTTAGCACTTGTCAGTAAATTTTGATGACTCTCATATGCAGCAGAGTGCCAGTACTAGTGCCGCGCTACCTTTTGGTGAACTGGTGAGCACCAGCGGCCTAGTATATCTTGGTCTTTCACATACCAGGACTGCAGTATCACTTGGTGACGTGGCGAGTCCCATAAGTGCAGTACAAGCTGGTGCAGCGGCAAGCACAAATATTGTCCCACAACCACCAAGAATTTGCAGACCGGCCTGTAGAGCCCCTAGTATCCTTCCGGATGTGCTTGTCAATCCCAATTGGCAGTCCACAAATTCTGCAGCAACCGTACTTCCGCCATTCACTGCCCAGCCAGGAATTCAGATGGAAACCACAAATTTAACTCCTCCCCTTGATTTTTGGAGCTGTTTTTCACAGGAGATCTGTATGCATTGATTGTGGATCAAAGCAATTTATATGCACAAGAATTTATCACCGCCAACCCAAATTCAAACCTTGCCAGACCATTCGCATGGAAACCCATTAAGGTTTCTGAATTTACATTTTTTTTGGGCCTAACCCCTAACATGGGCATTACTAAAAAACAATGAATTGCAGTTGTATTGGTCCGCAGACCCGATTCATCAGATGCTGTGTTCTCTGCTGCCATGGCCAGGCATAGATATGAGAGTAGAATGTGTTTGATGCATTTCAGCGACAATACACTCTGTCATCCTCGGGGTGACCCTGAATTTGACCGGCTCCACAAATATCGGCCCTTCGTAAATCACCTTAACCAAAAATTTGCAGATGTCTATACTCCCCAGCAAAAAATATGCGTTGATGAGTCCCTCATTCATTGTTCTGGCCGCCTTCCATTCAAACAATTTCTTCCCAGCAAGCGTGCCAGATATGGGGTCAAGTTGTAGAAGACCTGTGAGAGGGCAACAGGCTATACATTTATGTTTCGGATTCACGAGGGAAAAGACTTTCACAAGGAGTGGACTGAGGCTGGAGTCAGTGCAATAAGAGGCACCACACACAGACGGATCCTGGACATGGGCTTCAAATGTCGTATTCCTCTTGTCAAGCCGCTCCTGAACAACAAACAACGTCAGAAGTGTCTTACCTGGGCTAAAGAAAAACAGACCTGGTCTGTGCTCAGTGGTCCAAAGTCCTCTTTTCTGATGAGAGCAACTTTTGCATCACATTTGGAAACCAAGGACCCCGAGTATGGAGGAAGAATGGAGAGGCCCAAGGACCCCGAGTATGGAGGAAGAATGGAGAGGCCCAAGGACCCCGAGTATGGAGGAAGAATGGAGAGGCACAAGGACCCCGAGTATGGAGGAAGACTGGAGAGGCCCAAGGACCCCGAGTATGGAGGAAGAATGGAGAGGCCCAAGGACCCTGAGTATGGAGGAAGAATAGAGAGGCCCAAGGACCCCGAGTATGGAGGAAGAATGGAGAGGCACAAGGAGGCCCCCCGAGTAGAATGGAGAGGAGGAAGAATGGAGAGACACAAGGACCCCGAGTATGGAGGAAGAATGGAGAGGCCCAAGGACCCCGAGTATGGAGGAAGAATGGAGAGGCCCAAGGACCCCGAGTATGGAGGAAGAATGGAGAGGCACAAGGACCCCGAGTATGGAGGAAGAATGGAGAAGCCCAAGGACCCCGAGTATGGAGGAAGAATGGAGAGACACAAGGACCCCGAGTATGGAGGAAGAATGGAGAGGCACAAGGACCCCGAGTATGGAGGAAGAATGGAGAGGCCCAAGGACCCCGAGTATGGAGGAAGAATGGAGAGGCACAAGGACCCCGAGTATGGAGGAAGAATGGAGAGGCCCAAGGACCCCAAGTATGGAGGAATGGAGGAAGAATGGAGAGGCCCAAGGACCCCGAGTATGGAGGAAGAATGGAGAGGCACAAGGACCCCGAGTATGGAGGAAGAATGGAGAGGCCCAAGGACCCCGAGTATGGAGGAAGAATGGAGAGGCCCAAGGACCCCGAGTATGGAGGAAGAATGGAGAGGCACACACTGCAAGATGCTTGAAGTCCAGTGTGAAGTTTCCACAGTCTGTGTTGATTTGGGGAGCCATGTCATCTGCTGGTGTTGGCCACTGTGCTTCATTAAGTCCAGGGTCACCGCAGCCGTCTACCAGGAGATTTTCGAGCACTTCATGCTTCCTTCCACAGACTAGCTTTATGGGGATGCTGACTTCATTTTCCAGCAGGACTTGGCACCGCCCCCACACTGCCAAAAGCACCAAAACCTGGTTCAATGACCGTGGGATTACTGTGCTTGATTGGCCAGCAAACTCGCCTGACCTGAACCCCAGAGAGAATCTATGGGGCATTGCCAAGAGAAAGATGAGAGACATGAGACCGAACAATGCAGAAGAGCTGAAGGCCGCTATTGAAGCATCCTGGTCTTCCATAACACCTCAGCAGTGCCACAGGCTGATAGCTTCCATGCCACGCCGCATTGAGGCAGTAATTGCTGCAAAAGGGGCCCCAACCAAGTACTGAGTACATATGCAGCTTCTACTTTTCAGAGGTGCGATATTGTTCTATGTACAATCCGTGTTTTATTGATTGCATGGAATATTCTCATTTTCTGAGATTGTGGATTTGGGGTTTTCATGAGCTGTAAGCCATAATCATCACAATGATGACAAATCACGGCTGGAACTATCTTGCTTTGCATGGAATGAGTCTCATATATTAGTGTCACCTTTTAAGTTGCTGCACTGAAATCAATGAACTTTTGCACGATATTCTCATTTTTCGAGTTTCACCTGTATGTCTGGAAGGCATTTGCTATTTCTTGTGGGTTTGTGAGAGAAGTGTGAGTAGTTGGATGTTTGACTAGAGGGATTTGGGTTTTTAAGCATCTTTGTTTGATTAGTTTTTAGTTAGTAGTGAGTTGCTTTGTTGCCTAAGGAATAGAATTTTGCTTTTATTTTTTGCAGGTTGATATATTTATATAGTAGAAGGGCTCTTAGTTTATTTCTATCTGAGGTGAGGGAAGATGTGGAGGGGTTGGGATTTTTTTTGCTTTGGTCTTCTTTTAGTTTAATAGATGCAAGGAGTTGGTCAGTTTGTTGGGTTCGTTTGTTTTGTGGAGAGTTTAATTGTATGAGGATACCTCTCATGTAGGCTTTGTAAGAGGCCATAGTGTGGAAATAGAAATGTCAGGTGTGTCATGAAGTTCAAAAAACATATTGTGTGCATCTAGTATGTGCTTCTTTTCGTCTGGGTTCTTCAGTAACGATGAATTTAGTCTCCATATTCGGGGTATCGAGGAGTATTGCTGGTCGTCAAGGGTAATGTTGATTGGAGCGTGATCTGACCATGTTATGGCACCAATTGTTGAGGAGGTTATGCATTGTAGGGTCCATTTGTCTGTGATAAAGTCAATTCTGGAGTAGGATAGGTGGGATGGAGAGTAGTAGGTGTAATCTTTCAGTGCTGTGTTGGCATTGCCAAATGTCATAGAGATCATTGTTATGAAGAAATTGGTTGAGATTCTGTTTGGAAGATCGATTGTTTGAAGAAGAGTCCAGAAGTGGGTTGCCAATGATGTTGAAGTCACCGCCTATGAGGAGTCTGCCTTGTCTTTGGGAGGAGATAATTGATTGAAGTTTGTTGTAGAATTGTAAATGATTGGAGTTAGGGCCATAGACGTTGACTAGGGTGTGTACAATTTTGTTGAGTTTGCAGATCAGGATATGGTATCGACCTCGAGGGTCTATTGTTTCTGAGATATGTTGGAATTGGAGAGTCTTTTATGGCTGTAATGACACCATTTTTCTTTGTAGGCTTCGTTGCCATGTATATATGGGAGAAATGTTGGAGGTGGAATTTAGGGATTTTGGTTGTCGCGAAGTGTGTTTCCTGTAGAAAAAGTACATCGACATGTAAGGAGCGAGTTTCTTTCAGGAGCAGGGACCTCTTAAAGGGGGAGTTTAGACCGCGAACATTAAGAGATGATATTTTAATCATTTGATAACCTTTTGATTGGAGTTAGTGAGTAGAAGAGTCGTTTCTTATCTTGATGAGAAGGTACATGTGTTGTAGTTATAGGTGGTGGTCTTCCATACACAAGATGTGTTAGTTGTGGAACGATCGTTGGATCAGGTGGAGTTTTGCTGGTGATGTCGGAGATGGTAGTTGAACGGTGGAGTGATTCCGTTGACTGGAGGTGCAGGAGGGGGGGAAGGGTGGAGATGGTAAAACAAGACTTGCGAGAAATGCAAGTAACATGAGTAGTGTGAATTGCTACGGTATAACAGAAGGGTTTGAACAAGCATAGACCATAAGAGAGGTCATGCTGAAAAGTCTCTTGTGACTTGAAAATGTTCGATTTGGGGCCGTTTGCCAGCAGTTGGTTAGGTAAGGGAGAGAGTGCCCAAGATGGCGGGTGTTTAGTAGTATGAGGGCTTGTAGAATCAGCATCCATTGGTCACGTGTTGGGAGGAGTGGAGTGTTGAGATTCCGCCGGTATTATGTTCCAGTTTTATAGGAGATCGATGCCTGCTTCTAGATTTTTGATGGTGTATATTTTCCCATGTTGTTTAATGGTGAGCTTTGTGGGGAAGCCCCATTGATAACCTATTCCATGGTTCCTCAGAGCTTTGGTTATGGTAACGAGCTTTTTGCGGTTGAGGAGTGTGGCTTTGGATAAATCAGCGAATAATTTGATATTTGCGTGTGATGGCGGAAGGGGTGGAGGATTTCTGGCTGTTGACATTATTTTCTCTTTTACATGGTAAAGTGTATACGTGGCAGTACATCTCTGGGTGTAGAGGCTGGTGAGAAGGTTGGTTTGGGTATTCTGTGCGCCCGATCTATGGCGAGCTCCATATCCGTGAGTGAGGGGATGAGGACTTTGATGTATTGTTGGAGATATGGAGTCAGGGTATCGTTGGTAATTGATTCAGGTATGCCTCTAAATTTGATGTTATTGCGTCTGGATCGGTCTTCTAAATCCGCTCATTTCAGGTTTATTTGTTCAATATCAGCTTCATGGTCTGCGTGTGTCGTCAAGTCGTTATGGGCTGTGAACATTCCTCCCATTTTGTTTTCAATATGGCGTATGCGGTGTTCTTGTATCACATTAGAGATTTGGGATAGTGACGCTGTAAGACCAGTGTGGAGTGTTTGACGCAGACAAAGAAGAAGGTTTTTCATAGATATCTCAGTGATAGGTTGGTCAGAAGCAGGAAAGATTCAATTAGAGATGGAGCAGAATTTTGAGGTAGAATTTGTGAAGTAAAGAGTTGGTTGTCAGGCATGGATTCAGTATCCAATCTGGGTCTTGATTTAGCAGGGCTGCTTGTGGTGGGAGACAGTGGAGGAGAGGACTCACCAGGGTCTCCTGGGTACAGTGGTGCTCTTAATCTGGCATCCAGGTGCTGTGCTGCAGTGTCTCTGTCACAGGCTCTGTGTCTATTCATGCTGCAGCCGGCGCCATCTTGGCTGCATGAGGGGACAACAGGGAAGAAGCTTGTCAGCTTCTCTGGCTGTTCTGGGGCTTTCCTCCTCCATGGCATGGTAGTGTCAGGAATGGACTTGCCAATGGTGGTGGGACTCACCTGCCTTGTGGGCTGCAGTACCAGGGCTGGCCAGCGGGTGCTCTCAGCAACCAAAGGCTAACTCCTGCAATCGGCCATCACCTGAGGCTGATTGCAGGAGGTGTATTTAGGGAATGGCCAGACCTGCAGTCAGTGCCTTGGTGTTTGTTTCCCATGAGCCCCTGTACCTGCATCTTGTCTGCTTCCTGCCTGATCCTGACTCTGCTTTGATTCTGACTCCGCATGAACTCTGCCTGTCCTGACCTCAGCTATTCCTGACTACTCTTCCGCCAGCTCCTTGTGCCCTGCCTGCCCGTTTACTACCGACCCGGCCTGTCCGACTACGTTTAGTATTGTTCTTATTGTTATCTGTTGGAGGTTTGGTTGCACTGTGTTTATGTATTGTTTAGTCTTTAATAAATTGTATTGTTTATACTATACCTGGAGCCTGCGTTTCCCTGTGTCAGTCCACACATCTCTGGTCATACCCGGAGCCCTGACAGGTAGACGAGGGGTTAATGTACCCGTATGTGTAATACGAGTGACTCTTATCTCTCGTTGTCAGTGTGCCATCTCTGCTGACAGATGAACGGAGCTCTCTCTCTCACACTGAACGGAGCTCTCTCTCTCTCACATCCATCCTCGGAGCCGGCCGCCTCTCATGTCCCTGTTTACTTTAGAAGTCTCAATCACAACACTCAAGGGCAGTAATTCTAACACCAGACCTTCTCTGTAAATCTAACATGGTAGCTTCTAAAGACTTTTAAAGTGTTGCCTATGGATATTAAAAACGTATGCAGTTTGTTGTCATTGCACGGGGCATGCGATGTTTTAAAGCATGTCATGTTTGGTATCTATTTACTCGTCATAACATCATCTTTTAAATATTCAGCTGTGATCAGGTGTGGTCAGGTGTGATCAGGTGTGGTCAGGTGTGGTCAGGTGTGGTCAGCTGTGATCAGGTGTGATCAGGTGAGGTCAGGTGAGGTCAGGTTTGGTCAGTTTGTGTCAGTTGTGATCAGGTGTGATCAGGTGTGATCAGGTGTGGTCAGGTGTGGTCAGGTGTATCAGGTGTGATCAGGTGTGATCAGGTGTGGTCAGGTGTGGTCAGATGTGGTCAGGTTTGGTCAGTTGTGATCAGGTGTGGTCAGGTGTGGTCAGGTGTGGTCAGGTGTGGTCAGGAGTGGTCAGTTGTGATCAGGTGTGGTCAGGTGTGATCATTTTCCAATGATTGGTACCGTATCTTGTAGACTCTATAAGTAATACACACAGATTGGGATTATTGTTACCAAAGCAATGTAGTTGTATACATTTTTGCCCAAATTTATGAAGAAAAGTTACTTATTTGCAAAACTTTATAACCGGAACTTTTTTTTTTTCAAACGTTTCCGTCTTTTTTAATTTAAAGCGCAAA